TAGATAAAAATAAGTAAATAAATAATAAAAATAAAAATAAATAAGCAGATCACATAACAATCTTTCCTACAAAACATAAAATAATTATTAAATAAAAATTACACAAAAACGGAGACATTCGGTGTGCACTCCGTAGAACAACTCGACGGAAGTACGTCACTCGCCGTCAGTGTCAAGGGTCACGCTCGCCCGTTCCACTTCCTTTCTCGATCTCGTCGGCAATAGAGCACCATCAGTAAGTTTCATACACGAGAAAATAATCCAAGAACATCGATAAAGAAATAAAACCTCCGGGCTTCCTTTCATGCTGCTTATAGAGCGAATATCCCTGTCGACTGTTGAAAGCGTTTATTGTCTGAATATTACGTGTGCATTAGAAGATGATGGGTTTAGAGTTCCCTGCGGCTCCCTACTTCAGACATGATCGCTTTCCTGTCCGTCCACGATAGCATACGGGTATTACTATTACACCTGTGCAAGAAACACATTAATATGTGAGCAAGATCAAATAAAGTACCTTTGTTAAGTGACTAAGATATTTATTCCAACGTGAGCGTCTCCATACAGCCGTGGAATGAGCCGTTAGCACAATGCTATGTAAAGATCGAGCTTGTTTTATAAACGTGCTACCCAGAAGATAACTTGCAGCTTACATTTATAGGTTTGTGCTTTTGGAGATCTGCAATATACATGTCATATACTAATTCATATTTTTCAGACATGGGCAAGTTTATGAAACCTGGTAAGGTGGTGATGGTCCTGGCTGGACGTTATGCCGGACGCAAGGCTGTGATTGTCAAGGTATTTGTAATATTTCACGGTATTCAGGAAAAGAAGGTTGTGTTGAGTGTTTGTGTATTGACAGGGTTGTGCTCTCTTTCTCCTTTCAGAACATTGATGATGGCACCTCAGACCGTCCTTACAGCCATGCTCTGGTCGCAGGCATTGACCGCTATCCTCGTAAAGTCACCACAACCATGGGCAAGAAGAAGATTGCCAAGAGGTCCAAGATCAAGGCCTTTGTGAAAGTGTTCAACTACAACCACCTGATGCCAACCAGGTATGTAGACCCTGAACAGTCAGAGGGACGTCTGTGCACGTTCATACAGCTTCTGTATCAGAATTGACAGATGTTTGCAGAGTTAGGCTGATGATACACGGGCAACTTTTTGAGCAACGGGCAACCAGGTGAGACACGGGCCCACGACCGATCTAAAGTATCCAGATAGAAATTTGTTACCCATTCGCAATGGGAAAGTGCCCAAACAACATTGCCCCGTGTACCATCAGCATAACACTTGCTTTCTAATGACGCAAGTCCTCTTATGATCACCAAGGCTACATTTATTTGATCAAAAACACAGTAAAAATTGCAATATTGTGAAATACTGCTGAAATTGAAAAGAATTGTTTCCTATAGTAGTACGTTTTAATACGTAATTCATTCCTAAGATGGTCAATTAGAATTTTCAGCATCAGTACCTCCAGTCTTCAGTGTCACATTATTTTTGTTCAGAAATCATTTGCTGCTCAATAAATATTTCATATTGTCAATTTTGGAAATAGTTGTGCTGACAGTTTGTTTTGGAATTCTTCAATGAATGGAAAGTAAACTGTGTTTATTTGAAACAAAGTGTCTCTTTTGTGATTTGATCACTTGAATGAGGACATGAAGAATAAAAGCACTTTGCTTTCCAAAGAAAGCCCTGCTGACCCTAAACTTTTGAACAGTAGCGTAAATAGACTCAACGCTTGATGACTGATCCAGGTTGAGTTACGGTTTTTGTTATACTTGTCTAGTTGAACTATTAATGATTCCAGCACACCTTACCCACAGTCACATAGTTTTGTTGATGTGGTGCTTTCATGATGCATCTTAAGCCATTGCAAATACCTCTAATAGATGCTTATTGGTTGTACCTATCCACCATATTCTTCAATGTAGAAGTAAGCCTATGGGCGAGACTTGCGGTTCATTAGCTGCTGTAGGGAAATAACGAGAAGAATTACAAAGTGCAGTAAATGGTAAAACTGTTTGCACTACAAACCAGTGTGTTCGTAATTAAGATAATATATTAAAATAGTAAGGTAAGACACACCAATTTGCAATATCAAGCAGCATAACGAGCGGTTTTGTGAAGCTAAAAAATCTGATTACAGCAATGTGGATGTTTGCATGAGTTCTGCAGTTCGGTGCTCTAGTAAAGTCCAGTCACGTATATTTATATAGTACGTTGTACACTAGATAACTTTAAACCAAGCAGCTTTACAGTATTAAACATGAAAAACCAGAGTCGGTGTCCCTTTCAGTTAGAATTATTCTGTTATAAAGCAGCTCTCCAATGTGGAAAAATTAATAGTTTGGTTTGCGGAGATCAAAGCTTGATCTAGCTCAGGACTGTTTTGATTATCATAACCCTATTTAATGAGAGACTGTTGTGAATAAAATGATCCGAAAATATAACGTCTTATCACTTAACCTTTATTTTGTTTCTTATCCATATGACTTACAAAAGGAGATTTTAGGCAGAAAGATGTATTTTTCAGTTAAGTTTTCATATAGCCAATTAAATGGTGAATGAGAGCGTTTCCCTGTCTGTCATCTCATTTTATGGGCCAAATTTACTTATTTGTATAATAATTGTAATTACTTAATATGATTTTCAAAAGCTGAAGTGATTACCTTTATTTATTTGTTAGAATATAAATAACTCGATATTTTAACTAATTGCAAAAGCGGAGTAATCAAAGTCTGCTGATTCAATCATGTACATTTGTCTAATTAATATATCGTCTTTCCCCAGATACTCTGTTGACATTCCTCTGGACAAAACTGTTGTCAACAAGGATGTTTTCAGGGATCCTGCCCTGAAGCGCAAAGCCAGGAGAGAGGCCAAGGTTAAGTTTGAGGAGAGGTACGTGTTTGTCACCAGATCTCAGCTACTCAATTTTACAATTAAATTGAACGTTTCTTATTGTTAATGCTTACATGTTACGTTAAGGGCTAGATTAAAACTTTCTCTTTGTAGTGTAGTGTGTAGACATCATATTATTTGGTTCCTAAGTTTGATGCAGAAAAAGTGTTGTCAAGTCTTGTTGAAACCCACATAATCCAGAGCTTGCTGACTTTAGCTTCTGTTCAGAGAGATGACTGTAGGAGCAGCTCGATCTTGTTGGGCACTGGACATTCTGTTTGCTTTGATACTCTCAATATGATAAGCATGTATAGTCCTGCATGTGGTGATACATTGATAATAGTGAATGTTTTCTTTTACAGGTACAAGACGGGCAAGAACAAATGGTTCTTCCAGAAGCTCCGGTTCTAAGTTTTCATTGGTTTCGCAAATAAATCTGTAAAAATCTCACAAAGTGATCCTTGTCTTATTTCTGTTGGTTTTGGATTCTTATCTTGTATTATTACTTTAGTCATGATATTCGTTTTTGAACTGATTGCATATATTGCTTGATGTGTTTCTAATTTCTCATTATTGTCATCAAAACAATGTTCTTAAGGGTGTTTAGGGTCTTCTGTTCACTTTGTGTCATCATTCAGAGTGTTGCATCACGTAAAATATTTGTGAACAACATTAACAACTGTAATAACACACTGCATAACAAATAGCCAAGTGGTAATGCAGACCCACACGGTTTAGTTTCCACAACTGTTTTTAAACTCTTGAATATTGGAGCAATATAAAAGCCAAGGCATCACAGTTGTGATATCCACCTACGATTTGCTAAAAATGGATGACCTAACCTGTTGATGCTGTGTTTGACAATGAACTGCAGAATCTCAAAATAAACCTTTTGCTGTAACCCTGTAATTGCTCTCTGCATGAAAAAAAAACAAGACAAGCTTATAGTATTAATTGGTTCATTGCATGCTAGCGTGAGGGATGTGATCTCTCGGGACTTCAGAGGGAAACCTTTTAATAAACCTCTTGAGGTTGTGAGGCAGGAAACAAGCCTGTGTTTCTGTTCTGTATATTTGGATAGGTTGTAAATGAGTACTATGTCAAAGTGAATTTGGTTATAGTCATGACTGATAACGGGAAAGCTGTATTTCTGTACACAAAACTTACAGAGAGCTAAAACCTTATGAGAGCTAAATTATGTTAAAATGATAATTCACCCCGAAATTTTCCATCCAAGCCTGTATACATTTCTTTCATCTGATAAACACAAAAGAAGATATTCTGAACCAAACAGTTTTAATGCTATTTGTTCTTTGACAGTTTTCTACATGACAAGTAAAAAATTATTTGTCAAAGCAAGTTATCCAGGTCCAAAAATATATTTTAAACTTATTCTGAATTGCCAGTTTGGAAAACTGTATATGTAGTTTATACCTAACCCTATTTTAGATGACCTTGGTCAAGGACCTTGGTCTGGGATGGCAGTGGTCTCCTTGAAAAAACCTGAAGTGGGGTGCCACATTTCATAATCTATGGGAGATACGGAAAGACAAAAAAAAAGAAAAACATTCAAAGAAAACTATTTGTTTTGCCAACAAAAGAGTGTATTAAAGAAGCAATCAATCTCTCAGTTTGGTAAATTTCCACATGTTTGTGGATACTGGAAGGAGGAACTTGCATATATTTTGCCTTGCAACCTTAATCATTGGAATGTATAACAATGCCTTTGTTTCTACAGTCCATTATAGGATATAACATATGTGAATAGCTTTATTAAGAAACTATTATGTAACTTCTTATGTAACTCCTTTTTTTTAGAAGTCATATATATCATATATCATGGCTCTATGGTATGCTGTTTTATAATTTCAGTTCATGGCAGACATCCAGAAATATAAATAGGTGCGTTAAATTTACTCCTACCTAACTTACTTCTATAGTTCTCACTGCCTAGAGGACAACTTAAGTAAAACGTGACACGACTTGACCCATTTTTTCTCGCTTCATGACAAAAACAACCCTCAACCGTTAGTGTATTTGGCACCAGAGCGGCCGCCAGGGGGCGCGGTGCGTTTTCATTTAGACCCGCCGCGCCGCGCCGCTGACGCTGTGCGCATTGAGACCGACGCGACGCTCAGAGCCTCGACTGCGCGGCGGAGGAGACAGTCTCGCTTCAGAATGACACGAACCGAGCTGATGCGCGGAAACCCTCCGGTTTAGGCAAAAGGTGAGTTATCTGTACGAGCAGCCCGCGTACTCCTTGATTACACTACACTCTCTGCTCCGTTAGCTTCAAAAGCGCTCAGTTGCTAGCACTGCTCTGGATACAATGTGCTATCACGCGCCATTGTGCTTAATGCGATCAGCGCACAGCTAATGAAACTGGGCTGATGGAGGAGAGTCGTTACCGCACGGGTTATCTAATCATCATGACCTTCTACAATCGTTTCATTTTTATTTGTAACCAGTAACGTTAGTACGAACCAGGCCAGTTATAGTCAGTTTTTCTGGACAGGCAAAATTTTAGCTACCCATGATTTGGTCAACTTCCTCGACTTGTGTTTCTTTTGAGTAAACAGCACGTTTTGTTCTTTGTTTTTGAATTTCGGCTGTGTTTCTTGGCTCAAAGATAGCAGCATAACATTTTCAGGCCTATTCCTTTTAATGTAATATGTGACCGTATGGGCCACAAATCCAGTCATAAGGGTCTTTTTTTTTTATTGAGATTTATACATGGTATGAACGCTAAATAAATCAGCTTTCCATTGATGTATGGTTTGTTAGGATTGGACAATATTTGGCCGAGATGCATCCATTTGAAAATCTGGAATCTGAGGGTGCAAAAAAAATCGAAATATTGAGAAAATCGCCTTTAAAGTTGTCCAAATGAAGTTCTTAGCCATGCATATTACTAATCAAAAATTTAGTTTTTACAAAATGTCTTAATGGAACATGATCTTTACGTAATATCCTAATGATTTTCGGCATAAAAGAAAAATAGTTTTTTGACCCATTGATACCTGTGCTACTTATGACTGGTTTTGTGCTCCAGGGTCACATGACTCTGATGCTTAAATGTTAAATTAGGGCTGGGCGATATGGCCAAAATTGATATCACGATATATTTCTTCATTTCGGTCGATACGATATAATTCCGATATCGATATGAACACTATTTATCTGAAATAGAAATCTTTTGTAACATTATAAATGCCTTTATCATCACTTTTGATCAATTTTAAGCATCCTTGCTAAATAAAAGTATTAATTTCTATAATTTATTTCCCCAAAAATTAATAAATGTGTCTTAAATGTTTAGTAAAATATTCTGATGTAGATTAGAAAATACGGAAAGTTTAAGATTTTTAAAAATTATGATTAAGGGACTTTTACTACATTAATTTGGCAAGGCATTGTCTGAATTAAGATTGTCATTATTCAGTAAGGTCTATAAATTTGTCTCTGATTATTTTATAAGTGGATATGATAGTTCCCCCCCCAACTAATCATTTTTAAACTAGTCATTGTCTCAACAATCCTGTTTTTATGTATATGCAGCAGTATTTGTATTGCATCGTCTGAGTTGTTGTGTTTGATGATATTTTCAATGAAGGGATGTGAAGGAGTGAGATGAGAGCTGTTTGGGGTTTGTTTCGCAGCTCTAGAGATGATGGACTGCACTTCAGCTGTTATTCTGGAGTCTCAGAACACATGAGATAGATTGAGGTGTTTGCACTGACAAAGATACAGCATTGCAGCAGAAATATATGACTGCGTATTAGCAGCAGCCTCCTGTACTTCATAAATGCATCAGGGCAACATGAAGATCGACATTGTGCTCACTGATGAGTAATATCTGCTCTGTTCATCTTTTAGTTAGTTGCATATGGATTTTCCTTTCTGTGTCAGTAGCCTAAAGCTGTGATTTGCTCTAGCTTTTGTGTTTTTGTCCGTACTGTAGGAGGTAATACCAGTCTAATGATTAAAAATCTCCAGTCCACAAGTGTTGCCGTTTTCCCCTCTACTAGTATGCTGCTATTTCCTTATGTCTTGTGTAGGAGTCTCTGCAACATAAAAGAAGAGATTTGAAAGTATGTTTATGAGCAAACAGTTTTGATTAATTTTCCTCCCCCCATACAATGAAAGTCAATGCGAAACGAAACTGTTTGTCACTAAGATTTTTCAAAATATCTTATTTTATGTTCAGTGGAAAATAATCATACAGGCTTGAAACATGAAGGTGAGCAGATGATGACAGAATTTACATTTTTGAATGAACTATCCCTGTAAGTCTACCCAAATCTTCGACACTGAGCACATTGCATGGTGAATGCATCCGGGCTGCACTCTTGGTGTCGGTCAAAGTCTCATGCTAAATTTGTTTCTTATAAGGTAGTTTTACTGGCCTCTGCAGGGGTGTACTATAGGCTAAGGGGAGGGTGACCCACGACCCACCCACGGCTCTGTGCTCAATAGATTAGATATCAGTACACTATTGCTTAGCCATTATGATCATCACTGCCTCTAGCGGTTGCTTTCTCTCAAGATCTGAATAAATTTTTGCATGAATGTAGCAGATGACATTACATTGTTATTCAGAGGACTGAGAAGATCAGCTGGTCTCCCTGATGATAGGAGCTATAAAACAGTACCGTGAAAATAAATGTAAGCTAAACGTGTGTATAACATGAGCGCTCTGTTGTGTTTCTCAGGTGGGCCGCCAGGATGGGGGAAGGGCCCGCGGTCAGGCCCTCGGCTGCTATTACACCCATGCAGCAGATGCTGGCGTCTGGCACTGGGGCTGTACTAACATCTCTTTTTGGTGAGAAGAAGAATCAGCACAATCATATCTCTATTCAGTAGAAATACTGAACATGTTTGTGATATCACTTGCTGCATTTGTCTGATTTTAGCATAATGTTTTCTTTTTTGTGTGTTTGCAGAAATCCCAAAAATAATGTGCATGATTCTTTTTAACATACATGCACTACCCTTCAAGTATGGGGTCAGTCGGTTGAAAAAAAAAAAAAAAGTAATCAAGGATGCATAAAATTGATCAGAAGTGACCAAAAATTGATAAGAAATGTTTTTGAGTTGTAAATTGTAATATTTCATTTTTTATTGTATTTTTGATCAAATGAATGTTGCTTTGGTGAGCATCTTTCAAAAACATAAAAAAAAAACTTACTGACACCAAACTTTGGAATGATACTGAATGTAGTTGTTCATAAAGTAGGGTTGACAGTTTTATAGTTTAATTTGACATTGGAAGCTCTGTGCTTGTGCAAGCATTATACTTTATAGATGGAATCAAAATGCTAACTTTTTTTTTTAATTAAGACAAAATTATACTTTCTCTTTGTCCCTCTCTCTCCCTGCAGTCACACCATTGGATGTAGTGAAGATCAGACTTCAAGCCCAGCAAACTCCCCTCTATCAAGGTACAGATATTAAACTCTTAAGTTTTCACAGAAAGAATGACAGATGATTGAACGGTGAACTTCATGCATTTACTCTAGACATGATACAAGTCACACCAGTTTAACATCAATGTTTTTATTTTCCTGCTCCGTTTACATTTTTAGCTGAAATGTGCGTCTTAAAGCTGAAGTGAATAATTTCTGTGCTACTAGCAACACAAGTTAGAATAGCAAAAATAGTGACTGCTTTCAAACAGGTTTCTTAAAAACACGCTTGTCTGCCAGTGCTTGCTAAACTCAGTCCTGCTCCAAACTTACACCACTGGTTGTATCCGCCTTGCTATGTTGTGTCGGTCATAATCCAAACAAAGCAAAGTTTTGATAGCACTACAGTGTTTAAATGTTTTGGGGACATTGACATATAAATGGCTTACATACAGTTGTCAATGCATATTAAGCTGGGCTAGAAGAATTTGACCCATTTCAGCTTTAATTACCAGCAAAAATGAAGCTACACTGTCATTCGGATTCTTAAGATTTTTAATGTGTTTGAAAGAAGTCTCACAGAGGCTGCGTTTATTTGATCAAAAATTGAACAAGACAATAATACTGTAAAATATGTTTCCAGTTTAAAGTATCTGTTTTTTTTAAATGTATATTTTCAAATGTAATTTATTCCTGTGATGGCAAAGCTTAATTTTTCAGTCTTCAGAGTCGCATGATCCTTCAAAAATTATTCTAATATGCTGATTTAGTGCTGAAAACAACATCTATTATCAGTTATCATATAAATGTTGAAAACAGTCGTGCTGCTTAATATTTTTTAGGATTTCTTTGTGGGAACAGCATTTCAAATAAACATCTTTCAGAACATTATAAATGTCTTTACTGTCAATTCTGATCAATGTAATGCATCCTTGCTGGATAAGTTTAATTTCTCATTTATTCTTATATAAGGTCTACTGACCCCCAAACATTTGAATGGTAGTCTGTTCGCTTTTGATAACACAATGCAAATGCGAAGCAGCATGAGGCCTATGAGATGTCTTTCTCTTTCTCTCTCTCTTGTAGCCGTAGCATCAGAGTCAAGGCCCTGGGCTAGGGTCATCCGCCCTTCAAAATGTGAGTAATGTATGTGAACTGCATGGTCCCCTCCCAAATCCCAGAAGCTCGCTTCACTAACCAGCACTCCAATTCCAGAATTCCAAATGCACTCCTCAAAACAACTAAATCACATAGTGTGGACAACGTTTTGGCTTATATACCACATCTCTGAAGGGCTAAACCCAAGGTCACATTGCAAACAGACATGACAAATGTGCACATATGTAAATACCCCAACAAGATGGAAAATATTTCCGAGGTCTACTCTGCTGTATGTAAATGTTTATAGCAGTGGACCATTAACAGAACTCATTAGGACAAACTAAGATCCATGTCAGGTAGACCTACCTTGAACCCTGTCTTGTGTAATGTCCAGAAATAGTAAGAAGACTGCTTGTTTGTGCCAAGGTTGGATTTGGTTCAACTTTCACGGCATGCATGGTCTATGCCATGGTTGCTAATATTTATAGAACCTCTTATCGAAGACCTCAGTTCTAATCGCCAAATCTGTTTAATTTATCGGAAAATACTTTTTCTTGGAAACCCACATGTCAATGCATCACATGTTTGCTTACTTTACTGTAGGTCTGTACAACAGTCCAAGAGTATTGAGGTTGCAGTTTGTTACTTTTCCTTCTGTTTTTTGTTTTTTTTGGTAACCATTTTGAGGCAGTGTTGCAAGGTAACAGAAGTAGTAACAGGTCTTCTTTTTTTCTATATTGTGACATACATTTGAGTAAAGCAGATTATTGAAAACGGCGGTGATTTCATTGCCGCTTCATTGGTTGTAGATTGGATGGAGGCAGATCTGAATGCAAGCTTGCTGTCAATTGTAAGAAAGGGGCCGGGTTTAAGCAGACTAAATGATTGGAGAAGTCCAGCATATATCTGTAGTTTTACTGGAAGATTGAGTTATGCTAATTTGTTTTTAAAAAGGCACATAATATGCATGTATGAATTGTGCACAATCAACATCAAATCAGATCAATAACATTTAGAAAATAAATGAATTTGTCATTTCATGTTGACTTTAACCCATACAATATATATAGTGCACAACTTTCCGTTTAAAATTCTACCATAACCAATTGCAAGATTAAAAATCTAGTGTTTTGAAATTGAAAATAAAAGTTCACAAGGAACATTTAATATTAAAAAAAAAAAAAAAAAAATATATATATATAATTGATCACTGCAGTCAGTTCTAAGTAATTTGGGGGTACTTGGTCATTTGTAATATATTTGCAAAATTATTGCAAATTAGATTCATGCTACTGCATTTTGGCTGTCTTTTTAGGGAAATGCTTCCTCTATTGTAACGGGTTGATGGACCACGTCTATGTGTGTCAGAATATGTCAAGCTGCTCCAGCTGGTACAAAACCCCTACCCACTTCAGCGGGACCGTGGTGAGAATTCATTCGCATCTTTCCAAACTGTGACTCTTTAAGTTTTTACACACTCTTGATTAATCTTTTTTGTTTGTCAGGATGCATTTGTAAAGATCACTCGTAACGAGGGGCTCAGGTCTTTGTGGAGCGGGCTTCCTCCCACACTGTAAGTGCAGCATCATAAAGCCAGTGTACAGTTACATAAAAACAGGCGCTATCGTAACACCTGTTTTTTGTGTCTATTTATAAATCGTGTGCTGTAACTCCAGCTCAGTCTAAAGACTTTGATTCTAATCGAACAAGTGCAGTGTTATTAACAAGTGCAGATCCTCATAAGACAGATTTTAATTATATAAATCTTTGACGGATACAAAGATCGTTGAGTGAAGGATTCTGTAGACCAAGTCAGACAGATGACTCGAGTGTATTGAAGTGATCCATTAAAAGAACCGCCTCACAAGGGTCATTTGAAAATAAAATGACAGTAGTCATGCTGTTTACCGAATAGCGGTGCAGGAGACGCTGTGCAAGCGAATGACCCTTTGACTTTGTAAATGTATAAATAACATGTTAATGATTGAAAGTCTGTATCAAGTTCTCTGTAATTAACCTTTTTTTTGGGGTCTGTTCACTTGAGCGCATGGTTTTACAAAACAGCAAATAGGAACAAACATCAGTCTTTGGAATGACACACATTTGTAATCGGTGCACAAGTTGTTTTCAGTGAGTGTGTTTGTGTTTGAAGGGTGATGGCGGTTCCTGCCACAGTCATCTATTTCACCTGTTACGACCAGCTGCGAGACTTCCTAAGTTACGGCATGGGCTATCAGGGGGACCATATCCCTCTCATAGCAGGAGGGTTAGCAAGATGTGAGTATTTACTTGGCCTTGTTGTCTCATACAAGTACTGTGTATTATGAGGATCATAAAATTATATGAGTGTGGCACACGCACACACACACACACACACACACACACACACACACACACACACACACGCGCGTACAGTATTGGTTATTGGCAGTATTGGATATTTGTTATTTCTCGTTTTTCCTGTTTTAACATGTAGATTTGCTGCCATCTAACATTTCAAAATCTGTATATTAATATTGTTAGTATATATTACTAATAGTAATGTATTATAACAAATATATACACTATTGTTTGTTGAAACGTTTGGCGACTAATAAGATTTATAATTGTTTTTGAAAGAAGTTTCTAATGCTCGCTAAGGCTTAAAAAAAAAAAATGCAGTAATAGTCAAATGATTACATTTTAAAATATCTGTTTTCTATTTAAGTTTATATTTCATGTGAGATGTATTCCTGTGATGGCAAAGTTGAAAACAGTTGTGCTGCATTTATTATAATTTTTTTTGTGGGAACAATGTTTTTTTTTTCAGGATTCTTTGAATTGAAAGTTGAAGTTCAAAAGGACTGCATTTATTCAAATGTCTTTTGTAACATTATAAATGTCATTGCTGTCAATTTTGATTGTCGATACTGTTGGGTTAATCCTTGCTGAATAAAAGTATTAATTTATTTTTCAAAAAATAAATAAAGTTCTTACTGACCCCACACTTTTCAACTGTAGTGTGTACACTGTTATTTGAAATCTTTTGCAAAATAAGAGAATGTTATACTGTACATATAATGTCGCAATTCATAAATTCAATTCTAGAATTTATAATGATTGATTTAAATGTATTTAGGCAAAATAAAAGCATAATGTTACTATCAGTGCATCCCTAGTTTTGTTTTCCCAGTGTTGCTGTGGTGTGGGTTATTGATTGTCTCTCTCTGTGCTGCTCAGTGGGAGCGGTGTCTGTGATCAGCCCTCTGGAGTTAGTTCGGACTATGATGCAGTCCCGCAAGCTACAGTACAGCGAGCTGATGGTGTGTATCCGCTCGGCTGTGGCTCAGGACGGCTGGTTATCTCTCTGGAGAGGCTGGGGACCCACTGTCCTACGGGACGTGCCCTTTTCCGGTCAGTGACCTGTACACTCTCTGACAGCGTGATGCTGAACTGATGTTCCCCAGATGCAATGTTTGACTGTTTTTGTGTTTTCCCCTCAGCCCTGTACTGGTTTAACTATGAGCTAGTGAAGGCACAGCTGTGTGAGCGGTACAGGGCTCCACCGACCTCATTCACCATCAGTTTTACAGCGGGGGCCGTCTCAGGAGCCGTGAGTATACTCTCAAAAGCCAGATATGATCGCTGACTTGTTGACACTTTAAAATATGGAATCTGATGGCTATAAATTAATATAGAGGAGTTTATGAATGATTACATAAAGCTTCGGTGAGAAAGATAAAACAATGTGAGCAGAGTGTGATAACCTTATCTGGCCTGACTGATTAACAACAAGGGCATTTTGCATGAGAATAAATGCTGGGGCGACTTCTGTCCCAGATGAATATAGGACATGAGTGAAACTGGTCTTTTGAATTGAAATCTAACTAATGGCCAAGTTACATGTTGTATATTTGTACTACATACTTAATGTTACTACACACACAAAAAAAGCATTATTGAAATGTATTGTTTTTGCAGTGAAAATAGAATAATTCGGTATGAAATTAATAATATATAGAAAGTGATAAATTTTTTTCTGTTTTGTATGTTTTTCTCCCAAATAAGTCTGTTTACCATTTGACCAAAATACAGAAACCAGTAATATTGTGAAATATTATTAGTCTAAATTAAATGTTTTCTATTTGAATATACTGTACAATGTAATTTATTCCTGTGATGCAAGTGTCTTCAGTGTCACACACGATCCTTCAGAAATCATCAAGAAACATCTCTTATTATTATTATTATTATTATCAATGTTGAAATTAATATTTGTTAATTTTTGTGGAAACTGATCATATTTTTCTTTGAATATAAAGTTCAAAAGAACAGTTTTTTTTGTTTTTATGTAACAATATGCATGTCTTTTCTGCCATTTTAAATCCGGTTTTAAACCTGGTTGAATTAAAGTATTAAAGAGGTCATATGATGCGATTTCAATTTTTCCTTTCTCTTCGGAGTGTTACAAGCTCTTGGTGCGTAAAGAAGATCTGTAAAGTTGCAAAGACTAAAGTCTCAAATCCAAAGAGATATTCTTTATAAAAGTTAAGAGTCAGCCACGCCCCCCTAAAACGTCTCGTTCTAACCCGCCCCCACATATCTACCTCACTATGTGGGAAGATTTGCATAATGCCGCCCAAATGTTCACGCAAAGAAAGAAGGCATAACTTTTATTCTCGCTGTAGTATTGTTGCTGCCCTGCATTTCATTGTGAAAGCGAAACTACTTTGTTTGGTCTTCCAAAAGAGGACACGACTAGAAATCAGTGGTTAAGTTGTATTTACAACACTGTTCCAGAACAGTTCAACCCAAATATTCAGATGTGTGCAGCGCATTTTATGGAGGACTGTTTCCTGATCCTGGTAGAGTAGACTACAATGCCGGCTGTTTCACAGACTGTAAGTACGTTTTCATATTTAAAGGATTTGCCACTGAGAATTCAAACGCTAGTTTTGAGCAGTGTAGAGTAGGGCTTGTAGTTTGTCATTTCTCCGATCACAAATGCAGACATGGTTTTATGTTTACGTGGCGCGATGCAACACGTAAAAAGACAGTATAAGTCATTATAATCCATAATTATGTCCCCACTGGATGCAACAAATGCCTCGTTTATAATGGGTTTTAATGTTTTTGTCTCGTCGCTCCGGCCTGACGGCATCACAATATGGTAAGGGGCGTAACATTTTAGTCACACGCTTGAGGTATTCGGCCAATCACAATGCACTGGACAGCTGGCCAATCACAGCACACCTCGCTTTTCAGACCGATGAGCTTTGTAAAAATTGACGCGTTTCAAAAAGGCGGGGCATAGAGGAGAAACAATGTACAGTATGTGGAAAATTCGTTTTTTTTATTTTTTTTTTACCTTAAACCGTATAAACACATTTCATTACACCAAATACACCAAATAATGTTCTTTTTAGCAGCATCATATGACCCCTTTAATAAAAAATGTATGTGTCTCATACCCTCCTGGCTTATCAGAATATAATTTTTTTATTTTTTATTTTTTTGACACAGATCGCTGCAATTCTGACCCTGCCGTTTGACGTGGTGAAAACACGCAGACAAATCCAGTTAGGAGAAATGCAGGCACTCGGAGGTATAGCAGCTTCTGTAGTTTCTCCTGTTAACACATTAGAAAGAGTGGAGTAATGCAACCTGCATGCTGAGTGACACATGATGTCATTAGGTGACGGCTCACTTTTAAAAACAATCCGGAGCTGATTACCTAAGCTAGATTTATTTACATTTATCAGGCACCAAATTTCTTGACATTTTGACCTTTCACAGCAGTCTCTGTGAAGAAACCGTCCTCCACATGGAACATGATGAGGAATATCTGGATTGACATGGGATACAGGGGTTTGTTTGCAGGTAAGCTCGAAGATCTAGTGATAGTGACGTCAGAGTAGTTATATAACTTTACTAACCAAACTAGAGATTGACATTAGTTAAAAGAGGCCTGTTTGTGAAAGTCAGGATTAGGGCTGCACGATATATTGAAATAAAATCATCATGGTCGAATCATGCAGGCTGCTATTTCTGTGAACATATTCGCGACCAGTTTCAAAGTGAAGCGCAGCATTTACACACGTTGTAGCTCATGTTCAGCAGCGCATATTTTTGTGTGCCCCTGTCAAAATAAAATCTTGGTTTACCATTTGAAAGTGAAGAAGTTAAGATGCAACTAATACTGTAATTGTAATCACCCTACTCATTCTTGAATTATGTATTCTTTCTAAATGTAGCTTCTCAAGTCATCTGGTGAAAATTTATGTCGCAATAAAACACAGAAAATCTAAATATCACAATGCCCGTTTTTTTAAAGTCAGAATTAATAATGCAGTAGTAATATAATACTATAGTTTATAGCTTTTTGTTTGGATGTATAATATATTTTATGCATAGAACTTATTGTTAGTTTTGGGTAGGACCACACTGAATCTGAAATTGCAGACTTTTTTTTTAAATTTTTATTTATTCATTTATTTTTTTCAGGTTTTCTCCCGAGAGTGATCAAAGTTGCTCCCGCCTGTGCAGTCATGATCAGCACTTATGAGTTCGGGAAAACTTTCTTTCAGGAGCGTAATCTGAATCAGGCGAGATGCGGACTTTGAGATGAGCGAGAAGACAAGAGGTTTGTCCAGGATGATGAGGAAGCTGAGACTCCTCCTTGCCAGCTACTGCAAACAACTGATGACTTTAGCCAAGCTTTGAGTTAGTTCTCTGAAAAAACTCTAGTTGTTGGGTGATGTGCCTGCTGACTGGCACAAGGAATAAAAGCTGTGAGACTTAAACTACTTTCTTTGCATCTGAGATGAAAGACGTGCATTATGATGCATCAATAAATGCACAATTTCCCCACAAACCCTGTGATGCCTTTTGTAACAGTACCAAAGCATGCTGGCAGAAGCACTACCTACCCATAATGCCCTACTTATTGAAATGGCTGCCGGTGGAACGTGACATCCAGGTTGTTGTATGTGCAATGCATGACTTTAGTCCCTTTTATCAAAGCACAGGGCTGCCCTCTGCTGTTCATGGTGAAGAAACCTCGGTGGATAAATGGACTGAATGGATAAACTACTCAATACTGAGCTTTACAGTGTCTTCATTTTCAGCAAGAAAAAAAATTCAAAAATGATTATTATTTTATGTAATCGTTTTCTTTTTTTGCAAATATTTAACTCTCCTAAAGTATAAAAGACCTGTCTTTTGTAATCGGCACTGGACTCGGGAATAGCCACAGGAACATTTTTATAGCTTTGTTTCATGCATTGAGAATATAATGCAAAATTATTATTATTATTATTTTTTAAGGCAATAATTGTTCTAGTGTGTAGTGGATGGGTCTCTGGTCTTGTCCTGTTTGCTACACTTGTTCACTGCATTTAGTTCAGATATGAGCTGCTGTAAAACTTACTGCTGACTTGAAATGATTACAGTTCTCGGGTTTTATTTAATAAAAGACCTTGAAGAAACTTGATGTGTATTACTGCACTATGCATGAAGCATACTACAAAAATTTGTCATAGATTGCATTTCTGACTGAATGTGAGAGAAGTTTGTGTGTTGTCTGTTCTTCTAGACCAGGGGTAGGCAGGTTCGGTCCTAGAGAGCCGCTGTCCTGCAGAGTTCGGCTCCAACCCTGAAAAAATAACTAATTGATTAGCTTGTTCAGGTGTGTTTGATTAGGGTTGGAGCTGAACTCTGCAGGACTGCGGCTCTCTAGGACCGAACTTGCCTACCCCTGTTCTAGACAGACAGACATGGGGGTGTGTTTCTCGCACAACAGGAGTTATTTCACATAAACATCAACATGCATATTTCTTATTCTTGGTTTGGTGGTGTACATTTTATGACGTATGTAAACTTGCATATTATATACGGAGTCTGTGTTCAGCCATGCCATTTATGACCAATTATAATATAAACATTAACCCCTTCAGACCCTGCGTCCATTGAAATGGACATCACATGATTTTGTTTAGTTTAAACCAATAAAATGTTATAATATGAGCAATTCCTGGTCACTGATTGGTCCCTGATCAACCAATCACATTGAAGATATGACTCCTAACTTTATCTGATTGAGCTACAGGCATCAGAAAAGAGACTAACCAACTAGACAGGAAGAAGAGGAAGTCCACATTTTACCTTTTATATGCAGATTTTTGTTTATGGTAGCCTCATCAACTTGCACATATTATAAAATGACTATCAAATGATCATTTTCAAAGTTATTTTGAAGACCTTTCAGAGTTGCAGAACAGGATTTCATGTCCATCGCAATGGACATCGGGTCTTGAAAGATATCAGCAGGAACCTAATGAATTAGTTGTAACAGGCTGAGAAATTTGTGGAAGCATTTCAAAGCTAAATGCAGAGCTACAAATTCTAATGTTAATGTTTTATGACCATTGATGTTAATTAATGAAATTAATATTAATATGATTTAATTTGTCTTCAAAGTGACCATATCCTGTCAATCAATGTTTCATTGGTTTTAGTGAGAAACAGCCATAGTGCATGTGAGATCAGCGAATACACAGCAACACACACTCACACCCCCCTCGCACACACTGATGCCTTGATGCTATAATGCACACAATCATATATTCATCAAAACAATCAACAAGTACACATTCACATACACACAAATACATTTATACATATACTCAGATTCACCCACTTCAACCAACAAAAAGGATCAAACAAGTTTTATTTGTTATCATCTTATTTTTTTCCACATTCTTATTGTATTGATCATTCTTACAGTTAAAAATCTTAAACACTAGTTCAACTATAGTGCACAAACTCTACTTATTAAGTATGGTTAACATATGAGGATTTTTATGTTCAGTCCTGGCGCCCATTATAGTGGACATGAACAAAATCTAATAAAAAAATGAGTTGGCACAAATCTTGTATTTTAGACTCATTTCTATACTGGAGAAGAGCGAATATCAAGTGGCTAAAAAAAATGTGTTCAGTTCAAATAATTCAGGTCTGAAGGGGTTTTAAGATTAAAATGATTTCCTTGGTTGCATATAAACAAGCATTTTACACATGTATTTGAAATGAATCTTGAAACAGAATAAATGTTCACGACGCAAGCTGAAAATGTCATATTTAAAACTCTGCAGGACTGCGGCTCTCTAGGACCGAACTTGCCTACCCCTGTTCTAGACAGACAGACATGGGGGTGTGTTTCTCGCACAACAGGAGTTATTTCACATAAACATCAACATGCATATTTCTTATTCTTGGTTTGGTGGTGTACATTTTATGACGTATGTAAACTTGCATATTATATACGGAGTCTGTGTTCAGCCATGCCATTTATGACCAATTATAATATAAACATTAACCCCTTCAGACCCTGCGTCCATTGAAATGGACATCACATGATTTTGTTTAGTTTAAACCAATAAAATGTTATAATATGAGCAATTCCTGGTCACTGATTGGTCCCTGATCAACCAATCACATTGAAGATATGACTCCTAACTTTATCTGATTGAGCTACAGGCATCAGAAAAGAGACTAACCAACTAGACAGGAAGAAGAGGAAGTCCACATTTTACCTTTTATATGCAGATTTTTGTTTATGGTAGCCTCATCAACTTGCACATATTATAAAATGACTATCAAATGATCATTTTCAAAGTTATTTTGAAGACCTTTCAGAGTTGCAGAACAGGATTTCATGTCCATCGCAATGGACATCGGGTCTTGAAAGATATCAGCAGGAACCTAATGAATTAGTTGTAACAGGCTGAGAAATTTGTGGAAGCATTTCAAAGCTAAATGCAGAGCTACAAATTCTAATGTTAATGTTTTATGACCATTGATGTTAATTAATGAAATTAATATTAATATGATTTAATTTGTCTTCAAAGTGACCATATCCTGTCAATCAATGTTTCATTGGTTTTAGTGAGAAACAGCCATAGTGCATGTGAGATCAGCGAATACACAGCAACACACACTCACACCCCCCTCGCACACACTGATGCCTTGATGCTATAATGCACACAATCATATATTCATCAAAACAATCAACAAGTACACATTCACATACACACAAATACATTTATACATATACTCAGATTCACCCACTTCAACCAACAAAAAGGATCAAACAAGTTTTATTTGTTATCATCTTATTTTTTTCCACATTCTTATTGTATTGATCATTCTTACAGTTAAAAATCTTAAACACTAGTTCAACTATAGTGCACAAACTCTACTTATTAAGTATGGTTAACATATGAGGATTTTTATGTTCAGTCCTGGCGCCCATTATAGTGGACATGAACAAAATCTAATAAAAAAATGAGTTGGCACAAATCTTGTATTTTAGACTCATTTCTATACTGGAGAAGAGCGAATATCAAGTGGCTAAAAAAAATGTGTTCAGTTCAAATAATTCAGGTCTGAAGGGGTTTTAAGATTAAAATGATTTCCTTGGTTGCATATAAACAAGCATTTTACACATGTATTTGAAATGAATCTTGAAACAGAATAAATGTTCACGACGCAAGCTGAAAATGTCATATTTAATAGACTTCATCTACATGTGGAGTACAGTGCATTCCTGGCCCATAGAGGGCGTCCACTGGAGGATCGTCTGAATGTACGCGAGACGTATGCGGTGACGCACGCGCGTCGAACGCGCGTCTTGCCTTAAAAGGAAGCGCCGCCTCATAGTCGCTCTCTTTCAATCGGACCGGGGACACAATGGTGAGTGATCAACTCTCCTTCACAATCCATCCTGAATCAAAGTCATCCATCTGATTTCAAACACATCCTATTCTGTATATTATACACAGAAGGCAAACGAATGTTTTGCAGTGATTATAGATGGTAACCGCAGCGCCCGGGCGTTTTGCACATGGTGTGTGTTTGACCGAAGGGAAAATGGCAGCATCCTGCCCTGCTTTGAAATCTTAACACAGATGAACCATTTAAATGCGTTTTAGAAAGCACAAGTATGAAAGGAAGATGTCTTATACCATTTTGTCTGTTAAATGGTTCTTTTCTGGGGGTCTTTTATTGTCGGGGTGGAAGATGATTTCTGCGCTTTTTTTTAGGGCCTAGCGAGTGAAGTGTCGAAGTAAACTTGTCACTAGATAAAGGAACAGTCAGTATTTTCTTGTGCTGTCTGGTATTTCCAGGTGGCGACCCGTTTAATATAAAATGAGTTTTTGTAAATCTGCCTATTCGACTTTACTCGTGCAAGAAAACCATTTTTACGTGCAATTCAGGAGATTTTAGGAATTGCGGCCTTTTTTTTTCCCATCTAAAATGACTTGTTAGAAATTTCAAATATTAAACTTATCTAGTTTAAATTACAAATATATGGGCGTTTACAGGGAAAAATGTGTAAAGACAGTTTTTCTATCTCAATTAATTGTAACGATGTACCGAAGTAATGTAGATTAATCCAGTTATTTTTCTGTGTAGTCTCACCGTAAGTTTTCGGCCCCACGCCACGGCTCTCTGGGCTTCCTGCCCCGCAAGAGGTGCAAACGCCATCGTGGCAAGGTGAAGAGTTTCCCTAAAGATGATCCCAGCAAACCTGTTCACCTGACGGCTTTCCTTGGATACAAGGCTGGCATGACCCACATCGTCCGTGAGGTCGACAGACCCGGCTCAAGTAAGTGAAAGCGTACAGATTTAGTTGCGTGTAATGTGAAGTCTACTTTGCTATTAGGGTGTCTGCCAGTGATGATAACCTCGACGGGCGGACATATTTGGGCCTTGAACCCTTGCTGAATGTCGAGTTCTGAGCATGGTTTTTGTAATTCTTTTTTTTTTCTTTTAATTCCTGGTTAACTGGCATGCGTGTTTAGTTAAACTAACTTGTTTTTTTTTTTTGTGCTTATCAGAGGTCAACAAAAAGGAGGTGGTGGAGGCGGTGACCGTTGTGGAGACTCCTCCCATGATTGTAGTGGGTGTTGTTGGATATGTCATGACCCCTCGTGGCCTGCGCTCTTTCAAGACCATCTTTGCGGAGCACATTAGTGATGAGTGCAAGCGTCGCTTCTATAAGAACTGGTAAGGCTTGGTTTTTTGATAACTTCTGATTGGTTTTTAGTCTGGAGCTGATGGTTGGTGGCCAGGATAAACATGTCATGTTTTTCTGGGCCAGTCTAACGTATCGGTGTGGTGCAGCTCCGCTCAGGTGCCTAGTGCCCTGATGAGCTCCGGGCTCCTCTGGCCGGTGGAAAGGGCTCCTTAGAATCCGTGCCATGAGCCGAAATTACCTAGTGCTGTTGACGCCCCCCCCCTTTACCTTGAGGATGGGCAAGCAGCTATGCCCAGTCTCCTTCCACTGGCCCACTGGGCTATGAAGGAACTGTGCGCCAACCTTTCCCTGTGCCATGTTCAGGTACAAGTCCAAGAAGAAGGCCTTTACAAAGTACTGCAAGAGGTGGCAAGATGAAGAGGGCAAGAAGCAGCTGGAGAAAGACTT